AATCATTTAGAGAGTTTTCTTCACAACTCCAACAGTAGATTTGTGCAACATGCATGCTATCAACTTCGTGAGTATGTTCAGGCGCGTGTTGCAGTTTCTGATCCCTTGTATGAGATGATCAAGAAGGAAGAGTTTGAACGCCAATACAATTCCAAGTTTTTGGAGGCGATTTCTTGCTCTCGTGTTGTAGTTGAGCCTGTAAGTTCAGGGACGTATGAGCCATCATCGAAGCTGAACTTAAAGGTACTACAAGACATCCTGAAGGGTATCTTCAAGATCCAGAAGGATGAGGAGCTTGCCAAGGAACGTGATGAAGAAGAAGAACAGGCAGCTCAAAACATCTCATACCTGTTGGCAGATGATATGGAGCTTGATTTTGATGATGATGATGTTCCAGTATGGCGCTCCATTGTCGACAAGTACAGAGGAGGTGATCAGGTGCTACAGGGAGAAGCTGTGAAGATTACTCACCTGTTCAGGGATCAAAAGGACAATGAGAAGGCGACAGAAGCTTTCAGTTCAGAGAGGACAGATTTTTATGAGACCTCAGGACCTCTTCCAAGAACCGAGGGAGAAAATCTTGTAGAGGACTTGCTCACCAAGGATGTTGCAGAACAAGCTTTTGAAGCAGGTGAAGAAGTTCCTCCTTATACAAGAGTCTCCACTATCGCTGGTGAAGTCTATACTGGAAGTATGACACTTCTAGAAGATGAGAATATGGAAGAGGAAGTTCCTGAAGAAGATCCTGCAGTTGAACCTGAAAAGGAAGAAGAAATATTTGATGAAGATGCAGGTATTTTTCCTTCAGAGGAACCAAAGATGGAAGTTGACCAGGAGGAAGCCAAGGAAGAGTCAACACCACACTTTCTGTCAAGAGAGATAGGTGAGGACTCGACTGCATCGCACTTACCATCAGGTGAGATGGATGCTAACCTTGATGATACTTCAGGTCAGCGGAAATCGAAGAGAAGCCGCCTGAATAAAATTCCTGATCCTCATTTTCATGAAGAAGTTCAGGATGATGCAACCATGGAAGAGAAGAAAGAGGCGGTAGAGAAAATAAAAGAAGTCAGAGAGGATGATGGAGAGAAGAAATTGGAGGCTGAAATCCAAGAATCTTTTCCATCTGAAGTAGTTGTTGAAAAGGATACAACAAAAGCTGACGATACCTATGAATTGCATACTTCACCTTTGAAGTTGCTTGGAGAGATTGCAGGAGATCCAGGTATTGGCTTTTATCAACTATGCTTCAGGGAAACTCATGCAAGATTGCTGAATCATGTTTGTTTTAGAAAAGGTGAGATTTCCCATCCTCATTATCAGTCGAGGATCAACGAGAATGATTTTGTTCGATCCATTCGTAATATCTGTCCAGTACCTCCACCTGATTGTTATGAACATGAACCAGAGCATGATTTGAAGAGATTCTTCATCAATGATGACCGCATCATTTATTTGGATGGCAGGTATCAGGTCGATCCAAAGGCCCTTGAAAGGGCAGAACATGCTCGAGAAGAATTGGAGGAGACGAAGAAGGAACTCAAGAATGAACTGGAATCATATGGTCCCAAGGGACCCAGTTGGGACTTTGTCACCTTCTATGAAGAGCTGTGCAGAAGGTTCCTCAAGGGAAGAATAGAAGAACCATATGGAACTAACTTATTGGCCAGCTCAGAGTCCTTGACATTTTTATCCTGGAACTATGGCAACATGGTTCGTGGTCAGAAGTACACCACACCAAGGTTTCTCCAAGGACTTGATAGTGCAATGAGGCCACGCAAACAGAGCGCCATGTCACTTCAGAATGAGCAATTTGAGAACAACCTTTTCTTCAACATGCTCTTCTTTTTACGTGCACATGTCGTGATTCTCCAGGAAGCTCATCTTCTTGTTCCTGCCAAGGAATTTATTGAGCAAAAGAATTGGACAGTTTGTTTCAATGATTGGGAGAATCTTGCAGTGATGGCTAGATTGGCACCAGGTGGATATGTCAAGATCATTGCTGGACATGATCAAGAACCTGGTCACTGTGAACAGCGTGATGTAACTTGGGCTATCTACGAGATTTGTTTTGGAGAAACAAGGCCTCGTCAAGATTTCAAGGATGCAGACTTTGAATTTGATGACTATGGTCCTGAGGACAAGCGTGTTCCACTTACTCGAGCGAACATGCATACCATCAGAGTCTGTAATTACCATGTTGATACACACCGTGCTGTGGATGCCCACCTACTGACAGGAGAACAAACAGCATTGATGCTTTACGAGTGTTTTGTCTATGAGGTGGACATCATTTCTGGTGATGCAAATAGTTTGGCCTACAGAATGTCTGGGTACAAAAGGCAGCCAATGGCTAACTACTATTACAGCACCATGCAGCATTAGATCCGCAGGTTTTCAGAAGCTCGTGTAAAAGCAGATCTTGGTATCAAAGCACCTATTCCCAGAACATTTTACAGTTCAACTTCACAGGTCCTCAAGAAGTGTGAAGTTTACTTTGATAAACTCTGGGAAGAATATTCTACTGTTGAAAGAGAAGAATACCAAGGATCACAGCTTGGCGATACATGTTTGTCTACCATTGTTGAATGGGGTCATTCAATGAGTGAAGAGGAACATGAAAATTCCACAGTGAGCACGAAGGAGTTCATCTGTAATTTTTCAGAGAACTTTGCTATGATTGATACAGAGGTTATGTGCTCAAGGCCCACTGACGAGGACAGTCATGGTCCAATGTTTATTTCACTCAGACCAGCTTCCTTTTCATCTGGAGACAGAAGACAGTATCGCATGGGAGCAACGCTTCATGAGGCGAACTTGCGGAGGAAGGAGAGACAAAAGCAGAATAGAAAGAAAGGAAGGCCGCCAACTTCTGGTCAAGCAGCTTCATCGTCTGCAGCGGCATAATTCCTGAGCGAAGGCTGAAATTTAAATGATGGCTAGGAAGTGAAGATACTTCTGGTTACAGTTGATACTTTGCTTCCAGGCTTGACTTTAAATTGCCAGGCTGAAGTTTTAATAAATTCTGGTTTGCAATGAGGAGAAACTTTTTATCAAAGAAGATACTCCTGCATTCCAGGTTTATATGCTTTAGCATTTGGATAGGTATGGACAGTTTTACATAACTGATGATATCTATCATCACCGCTCTTATGAAGTGACCTCTAATGGACAACCAGTCATGGTTGATGATTAAGTCATTTCAAGATTTGCAATTGTAGTGCAAGATTTTTTGTACATACATTTGCCGGTATCTCCTTCTTGTGTTTTTGATGTGAATGTGAAAGAGAGTCCTTTTGATGCAGTTTATTTTGTCTGTGAATGAAAGCGGTCGAGACCACGTCACGAGAAGATTATTCCTCGGACCGTACGCTCCTTGCATTTTGCAAGGCATCTTAATTCATTGCATTGTGCGGTCTTGAATTTTTAGTTCTTTGTTACGCGAGTGTCGTTTGATTCTTTTATAGGTCTCTGTAGAGAAAAAGCCGCTTTTCCTTTTTAGTTTGATTTAGCTCAGGCCATAAAGAGCTAGTGAGCGCCGGTACATGGTATCTCCGCCTGCGAAAAGTACAGTCTCCAGCCGAGGTACATTATCGATTTGATCTTGTACTTGAGGTGAGTCAGCTATTGCTCCCTCACTGTATTTAGTAGCTATGAGATTACCTTCTCTGAAGTGTGAAACACACTGGATTAGGTAAGTACATGGCACCGTAGTTTTCTTTTAAGTTGTCAGAGCTAGCTGGACTGTTTTAGCCTTGCAGTAGAAAAGAGTATGCGACATACGCAATCAGCTAGAAGTGGACATGAATCTTGTGCCTGCTGAAAAGTAGAGCCTACCTGTACAGGGTTCCACTCCAACAGCTGATATAGTGTGTCCATGCTTGACTGCTTCAAGGCTCAAGAGAGGGTCAATGGACCTAAAGAGCAAGAGGATAAGACTCTGCACATAAAAGACACTAGCGGTCTGCACCTCTACCGTGTACGCCCTAGTCACTCTTTCACCCCCCCCCCCCCTCCCCTCTCCCCACCTCCCCTCTCCCCACCTCCCTCTTCGCAAGTTCGACTCCGTCCTGTCGTCGCTCTTTGGCATGCGGTGAGCGTTGCGTATCTTGCGGCCGCACTCGCTCACTCTCACTCTCACTCTCTCACTGTCTCACTGTCTCACTGTCTCTCTCATCTCTCTCATCTCTCTCATCTCTTTCTCATCTCTCTCATCTCTCTCTCCTCTCTCTCTCTCTCTCCTCTCTGTCTCTCGTCTTTCCGTCTCTCTTCTCTCTCGCAGGAGGATCCGGGCAAAGAGCCACATATAAAGGACTCTTCACCCCTGCTCTTGCGGCCGCACTCGCTCACTCTCACTGTCTCTCACTGTCTCTCACTGTCTCTCACTGTCTCTCACTGTCTCTCACTGTCTTTCACTGTCTCTCATTGTCTCTCTCTGTCTCTCTCATGTCTCTCTCATGTCTCTCTCATGTCTCTCTCATGTCTCTCTCATGTCTCTCTCATGTCTCTCTCATCTCTCTCTCATCTCTCTCTCATCTCTCTCTCATCTCTCTCTCATCTCTCTCTCATCTCTCTCTCATCTCTCTCTCTCATCTCTCTCTCATCTCTCTCTCATCTCTCTCTCATCT